TTTAAAGTGTTTTGTTAGTTTGATGTGTTTCCTCATTTTGAGGTCGCCATGTCTCAGTGCTTTTATGAAGAGAGCGCATCTGCGCATCTTTCGGATAGCGCATCAAGAACCGGGTTGACCGGGTACTCTGTACCACCGGTACTTAAAAAAATCTGGTACCGTAACGTTTACATTTTTGTAGTACCGACTTGGTACCGAAGTACCGGGTCCTTTGACAACACTAACAGTAGGTAGTGTTTAGTTGTCTTAATTTAAATGTACAATTAGGCTACGTGTCTAGGTGCCCTCCTGGGATTACCAGGCTCAGCATATAAAATGATACATTGTAAAATGTTGTTAAATAACACAAAACTATATGTTAATGCCGCTATCATTATTTACTGTGTTGCAATTATTTTGTTTCTCAGTTTCTGACAAGAACAAGTTTTATGTGAGGGTCTCAGAGTATTTTTTTTGTACTGTTTTTTCTCCCTCCAAAACTTCAACATTTAGATACAACTGTGGATGACAGCATAAATAGTATAAACAACAGGAAGACAATAAAGAACAATTGATATGCCAGTGCAGATGGGGGCCCATCCAAACCCCCGACACTGCGTGCCCGTTGTAAATTGACCCCCAGTCGGTGGTGGAGGCATCTGTGTAAACCACAGCATGCCTGGAGACCTGCAGGGACAGCTAGAAGGGCAGGACCTTGTACTGGTATGCCCGTCCTTCGAGCTCTTTCAGAACTTCCGGATCATGACCACCCTCATGCAGGTCCCTCAGTGCCTTGGCCTGATGAACCTGCAGTAACGCCGTTGCGTGTAAGGCGGAGGCAGCTTCTCCACAGGCCGTATAAGCGTCGCCGGACAGGCCAGACGAGTACCTACAGACCCGGGAGAGGAGGCACGGTTCGCCCTGCCGGGTGGAGGTGGTATTAGGACACAATTGCATCGCAACCGACCGCTCCACTGGGGGGACCCTTGTATACCCCCTAGCTGCACCACCGTCGAGGGTATTGAGGGAGGAGGAACCAGCAGGTCAGTTTCCGGCAGTAAAAGGGGCCATCCATGACCTGGTGAGCTCCTCATGCACCTCCGGGAAGAATGGCACCGGAGTGGGGCGCTGAGAACCAGCACGGGCCACCCCAAGAAACCAATCATCCAACCTCGAGGGCTCGGGACGCGGCGCCGGGAAAGCATAGCCGACATCTCTGGATCCGATTCAGGACTTGCCACCATCCAGGAGGGCGGCAGCGCAGCCGAATCTTCTTCTCCAGAGAGCTCTCCCTCCGATGCAGTGATCGACATCCAGTCGTAGGGAGGAGCACCGAAGGATACCGCTGGTACGCTTTTTAAAGAGTGCCCCCCTGGAGGAAGTTTACAAAGACGCACCCGCTTATTGTACTCTTTAGAGAAATTGCTCTTTCAGGGAAATGCTCTTTTAGTGCTGAGGCGCACAGGGGAAATGGTCGCTTGCAGCACAACAGGGGTTAGTGCAGCCTGAAGTGCGCAATCCACTAGACACAGGAACGACCACCGCTGAAGTGCCGTCTTAAAACAACACAATAAAACTTGAATAACTTAGGCTGTTAAAAGCACAGAGTCTTTCAGTTCCATAGCTTAAAACAGTCCTTAAGAAATCCAGTGTGTTGCTTGTCCCAAAGTGAATGTCCCAAAAGTGTCCACCGGTGTATATACAAAAGTCCACTGTAGTGTTAATCCAAAGTGCTGGAAAGGTAAGTCCACAAAGGTAACTCCACTATTCCAGTTTGCAGGTCAACGTGGGGCCCATCTAAAGGTCCCTGGTTCGGTCCCGGGTTTCGGCACCACTGCCATCCCTCCTCACACGTCGACGACCGGCCCAGTGCCTCCCACGTCAACCACTGGCTTTCTTCCGCCCAACAATCACAGCACCTCAACCACTTCACGGACTACCAACAGAGCGACCGAGGGAGAATTCTGCGCCACCACTCCAACTGGGCTAGACTTCAACATCATCTTTCTCCATCATTCCCTTCTCCAGAGAGGAACTCATCAGCGTGCAGGGCGATGACGACACTCTCCAGGGACTTTCCATCTCTCCCTCCACTCCACAGACCAACAGGATCGAAGTGAGGGAACACCAGGGCTTGCTGTATCGGTGGATCCAGAAGGCCCTGGTCCAACAGATGGTACAGCACTTCCATCAGAGGACAGCAGAGAGACATCATGGACGGCTAAAGACCCTCCTGCAGATCCTGGAAGTTGCCTGGTGGCCCACGATCCGCAGTGACACCTGGAGGTTCGTCGAGGCCTGCAAGTCGTGTGGGGTGGAGACCAGGAAGTGTACTGTCATCGACCCTAGCAAAAAAACCACCTCATCATCCACCTCTTCCCCATTCATCAGCATCAATAACATCCACCAAAGAGAGCCAAAAACCGGATAGGAGAAAATGCCATGGGGGCTGGCAGACCAGCAAGGCTGGGTGCAACATGACCCTGGGAGGAGCGGCGCCACCGATCCTAGGACACCCAGGCTGGTATCGGATTCCTTCTCTCTCTAGTGTTCCCATAGATTCCTCCGGCAGACTAGTGCCTATGTGGGAGGGCCTAGTTTTATCCCATTTATTACAAAGACATTTTAAGACACATTTTAGAGGATTCCCAATACATGGACAATGGCTGACAGTTACCTTTAAGGGACTAGTCTTCCCCAGGAGCCGTAGGCTAAGGGGGGCGGGGGGGTTGACTATGTGACACTGTCACACAGGACACATGTTTTAACCTGCTCAATATATTATAATGATTTTTTTAATGATTTTGACTCTGGGTCTGCCTGTCGTGACTGATCACATGACAGGAAATGGAAAGTATAAAGGAGACAGCATGTCAAGCAAGCATGGTCGTTGCTCACATTACGACCAAGTGGTGATCACCTGCAAACTGGAATAGTGGAGTTACCTTTGTGGACTTACCTTTCCAGCACTTTGGATTAACACTAGTGATGGGAGAAACGAACCATAGAGTTGGGGTACTCGGACTCGGACTTGGTCCGGTCTTGTTTCCATTTTTTAAAGGACTCGGACTTGTCACGGACTCAGATGCATGTTTACTCGGACTCGAACCTTTCGGACTTGGAAAATGTGTCAGAGTCCAAGGACAGTTGACGGAAATGTCACTGACTCAATGCATTATCACGAAAAAATGTTAATCAAACAAAAGAAAAGAAAATCACTCACTGCTCTTGACTGAATCACCTATTAACTTTAATAAGAATCATCATCTATATTTAATGTATACAGTGAAGATTATTTTACTTTTATTACTTCATGAAATGTCTGTAGTAGGCTATTTCTGTAGAAGCCTTTACTACTGAAAAACTTAAAAAAACTAAAAAACTATTTAATTTGTATTTTTGAGTAACATTTATCATTTAGCTTGTAAGTAATACTTAGAGTGTTTACTTGCCTTCAGTAAGCTTGAGAATGTTTTATTACATTAGTTTATTATTTTTTATTTTGTATTAATGGCAGTTTCTAGCTTCAAAGTAAAATCATTTTGTAACATCTTTGTGGCAATAGTTTTTTATGGGTCCAAAATCACCTTGGGTGTGCAGTATTTTCTAATAATTCAACGGGCTGTCATCAATTATTCCTTGCATAATGTAATTTATTGTAATTAATGTAACTATAAATGCATTCAAAAATAAAACAGGTGTGAGTTGGCTGTGACTTGTGGAAAATATATGTAGGGCTTTTATACACAGTGGGCCTCATTTACGGAATGAACGTACGACAGAAAATTGGGCGTATGGTCGTTTCAACACAAAACTTGCAATTTATCAATATGGACCTGAGTGGTGGCTACGATCAAATCTCACGTCTGGTCTCAGCTCGTGTATGCAAGTTTTTGAGTTACCTGAACTTGCGCGCAGCATAGTAAATACGGTGGAGAATTGTAGATTGACAGCATTTTGTTAATTTTTATATTCCTGACCGTCAAACGAAGCTCATTAGTTGATCATTAACTAGTAAGATTAGAATGTCTTTTTTTTTGTTGTGGTTTTGTACAGGGCTTTAACTTTATATGCGCGAATAGCAGCATAAACAAGACCATGAGGATTCAATCGTCACATCATGCACCTGCAGCGCTTCTGTGAAAGGAGAAAAACAGAAATGAAGTCTATAAAAGGAATAAAATAAATAGGATCACACAAAATATATAATAGGCTATAATATAATTAACAGATTAACAAAAGGAAAAAAACACTGCAACAAGTATAGGCTACGCTCGTTTTTTTGTGACACTCTTAATGCATTTTATTTCTTTTCTTTATATCTTTATTTGATTAAATCCATCTGATCGCACAGGCACCTCACGCACACACAAACAACATTAGTTCTACCGTTGCCTGACATTTCAGCTATTCATCATCAAACTAAAATGCAGTCAACCAAACATAAAAGTTACACTGTTTATTTTAAAAGGTCAATAAGAACTCACCGAAGGCCTTGCTAACAGAGCGCAAGACTCAATAAATAAAGATTGACTGTGTTGAGCTGTTTCTCAGTGTGGTGGTCTGCAGGCCAGCATGACAAAATGACTAATCATGGAGGTCTATTGGCAGCGCAAGGCCAGAGGTCATCTAATATATGGCCTTGTCCTTCATCTCAGGCAGTGAATTATAGCTGTATGTGTGTGGGTATGTGTAAGCGCAGGCTTTTTTTAGTTTTCACTATAGCGACTTCATTACACATCAGGCCGGCAGATGGTTTTTCATATTTAGTACACGAGTTATCCCTGTAAGCTCTGATTATATTGCAGATTTGTGAATGATCCTCCATCTGTATTAAGCTGCAACTTCAGAAAACACATGCAAATAGAAAAAGCACCAGCAAATCAAGAAAACATGTTCATCAGTTTGACAGCAGGTGCTGCAAATGCTTACAATGCAAACAAATAAAGAAACGCACTGCAAATGCTCAACACAACCAAATAAAGAATTTGATTTGCAGCACGTTTCTTTGTTTGGTTGTGTTGTGAGTATTTGCAGTGCATTTCTTTATTTGGTTGTGTTGTGAGCATTTGCAACGTGTGTGTTGTCAAATTGATGAAGTTGTTTTCTTAATTCGCAGGTGTTTTTTTCTATTTGCAGCGCGTTTCTTTATTTGGTTGTGTTGTGAGCATTTGCAGCGCATGTGTTGTCAAATTGATTAAGTTGATTTCTTAATTTGCAGGTGTTTTTTTCTATTTGCAGCGCGTTGAGCTCTCTCGGCCACCGTACAAATCATTAATATTAGAATGATTTCTGAAGGATCATGCGAGACTGAAGACTGGAGTAATAGCTGCTGAAAATTCAGCTTTGCCATTGCAAGAATAAATTAAATTTTAACATATATTAAAACAGAAAATTATTATATTAAATTGTAGTAATATTTCACAATTTGACTTCATTTTTTATCAATTAAATGCAGACTTCCTGAGCATAAGTTACTTTTTTTCAAAAACATTAAAAAATCTTGTAAATGTCCCTCTGCAGCAGTTCTTAAATCTCTTTCAAATCTCTTTTCAATTACTGTATTTCACAGAGATGCATATCAAGTTTGAATATGCAGGTATTTGAATGAGATTAATAGCAAACAATGGCTTGAATTTCTCTTTTTTGCTTTTATTATGCTTTATTTCCCTTGTGCTTGACAGCCCTTTTCGTGTGCCACAGAAGAAAGAAACTCATACAGGGGCCAGTTGCATAAACATATGTTAAGACTGTGTCTTAAGGACTAGTTTGACCAACTAGCTAACGAAGAGGTTATTAGACTTACTTTTTGGATTCAAATTAGACCATTCTCCCTTTTTATAACTGACTTTAAGAAGTTATGACCAGTCTTAAAGAAAAAAAAGTCCAGGAGGGTGGTGGAGTGGAGGCGGAACTGGGGAGGGACGGAGGGCCAGGCCCATGAAGCGGAACAGGCAGAGCAGGGAGCCATGGCGGAGCAGGCAGACTGGGGAGCAATGGTGGAGCAGGCAGAGCGGGGGGCCATGGCGGAGCAGGCAGAGCGGGGGGCCATGGCGGAGCCGGCAGATCAGGGGGCCATGGCGGAGCCGGCAGATCGGGGAGCCATGGCGGAGCAGGCAGAACAGGGCGGCCGGGTGATGACTGCAGAGCAGCCAGCCATGGCAGTGCAGGTAGAGCAGGAAGCCATGGCGGAGCAGAGACATGGACAGACCACGAGTTCATGAGCGGCCTCCATGGCCGTGACAGGGCAGGCAGCGAGTTCGTGAGCAGACGCCCCCACCTCAGGAGGTTCTGCAGCGGATGTCGCCACCTCTAGAGGTTCTGCAGCGGATTCATGCACATGAAAGGCCCTTGGTGCAGACTCATGGATAGGAAAGGCCTCAGGGACAGACTCTTAGGCAGGAGAGGCCACTGGGGCAGATTCATGGACAGGAGAGACCTCAGGAGCAGACTCGTGGACAGGAGAGGCCTCAGGAGCACAGTGTGCAGCCCACACAGCCACTCATTCGCAGAGCAAAGTCTATATATTGTTCAAGTGGCCAGTGTGGGGTATTGCGTGGCATTAACTGTGATAAAATTTTTTCCAAACCATAACGAAAAATGTCCTTAAGGAATGTTTCCTTAAAATCCACTTGGTGATAGAGTCCACAAAAGTCCTGAACATAATCCTCAATGGAGCGATTACCTTGACAGAGGCGAACAAGATGATCTGCTGGGTTCAGTTTTAAGGTCGTGTATTCTGTAACGAATCAGTCCACTGAAGGCGAGCGTAGTGAAGAACCCATCAGTCCACTGAAGGCGAGCGTAGTGAGAACCCAAGTGCAGTTTTATTTACAGTGTGATCCAAACAATAATCCAAACAAGATACACAGACTTGACTTGACGAGGCATGAACAGACTTGACGAGGCATGAACAGACTAGACTCACCGACAGCGGGTTACAACATCAATACACGACAAGAGACAATGGCAACATGGTGGCTACTTATAGCAAACAAGAGGGTCACATGACAAGAACAAACCAATGGGAAACAAGACACATGACTAAAGACAACCAATCAGAACATGACACATACACAAGGCAGAGATACATGAGGGCAAGGGAAGCATTACACTAACAGCATGAAACAATTACAAAATAAAAGACATGGAAAACATGAACATGAAACAAAACCCAAACACCAAACCCCACATTACATTACCAGTATTTTAATATACATATAAATTACATATATTAATGTAGCTTAATTGTTTGCAATTACAAGGTTAATGGGTGTTTTTGGAGTAAGATCAAATTCTCTTTCACGAGATTACTTCTGCTGCCTCCCAATGTGCCTACTTATACTACGCCCTTAAAGTATGTACTCTTTTGGTGAAGAAAAAATACACACTTTTGAGTGTGTAGTAGAAGAGTAGGCAAGCTTTGGGACATACTACTACGTCACACAATTGCGTCTTTAAAGGACCGCTCTGTCGCACCTGTTACACGTACCCTGTCACTGTAAACTGGCCGGTCAATCATCTTGTCACAGTTAACATCCTCCACATTTAATTTAATTTAATTTAACTTCCTACCGTACTGGAGAGAAAAGAAGTAGCTCTGTAGTAGTAGTATCTGCCAGTTGGGTCTTTCATGCGGAAAACTCTGCTCATATTTTCTGCATAATGATGCATTTAAAAGTTAACGACCAAATGGATGTTTATAAAAGTTCACATTGCTGTTGCAGATGAAATATAACACGGATAACAATAAATAAATATTTTTTACCAGGTTAAATGTTGATTAGTAACTCAAACCCCTTTTTGTAAACCTCTCTACCCAACCGTCGATCGCGCGCATCCGCCACGTTTGTAGTTTTTCTAACATGTTTTATTCGTGTTTGTAGTTCTGGACCAAATCCTTCACCAAAGAACAATGGATTGTGGGCAATTTTAGCCATTAGAGTGTGCACGGATCCACACTTCAAAAATCGGCCTGAAATGGTAGACCATCCGGGGACTTTTGGCATACTCTTTTCGCATACTCTTTTCAACAACTATGCTTTGGGACACACTTATAATCTCACATACTATTTAGGATGGATAATATGAACATTGGGACGCAGGGTTCCTCTTTTTGGCCGGGTTTCGTTTCCCCGTGTCGTAAACTCTAGGGGAGAGGCTTCTAAACCAGGGTGTTTTTAGGGGCGGGATATTCAAATGACTATTGTTATTGCATACGAATGTTTCATGAATCACACGTGAACGCTGTCGTAAGTTGATTTGTGCGCACGGATCTGCGCTCGTTTCTACGTTAGATTGATAAATGAGACCCAGTGTGTGCCATTGGGGTGACCATACGGGCCATTTTTACGGGACGCACCCTTGCCAGGATTTCTATATTGCCTAAAATATCCAGGTTTTGGCTGTTTGCATTGTGCAGATCGATCGTTGTATGACATTATTTCACGAGAGCTATTGAGAGCAGAGCAGATGGCTCCTTATGCTTTCAAATCGCTCTCGCGGTACTTTGGTGTCATACGATGATCGGTGCGCAGCTTCAAGTCGAACGAACGAAAGAACAAACACGTGCACGTATTTGCACCGCTCTGATCGTTCTCAGCTTCTCATGCGCGACGCACCACAATTGGTCAATTATGTACAATAGTTGCATGTTATTGTTCAAACTACTTTGGATGTTTTAGGCAATATAAAATTCCTGGCCAGGACGTGTCCCGTATAAATGGCACATATGGCAACCCTACAATGGGCCATTGTACAGACTAGGTTTATCCCTCACAGCCTCATTTTCATCCAAGAAAAAATTCAAAATGCCCTGGCTAAGGGGTCCGTGTACTTTGGCGTCCATTCTTTTTTTCTTTTTTTTTAACCCAGAAATTGAAATGCAGTTTCTTCTTTAATGGTTCAAACACTGATGAATAGAATAAGCAGACACAAACTCATTTTGATTATTTCAAATTCATATTTCATTAAAAATCATAAAAATTATATAAAGCTTGTTTTTTTATTGAGACAAAAGGTGCATTTTCTGCTCTTAATCACCAAGATACCTACTCCTTTACCCCCACCCTTGAATTTATACATTTACTTTAACGATGAATAAAGTCAAGTCCCGCCCTTTAATTTTTCACATTCTAAAACCTGTTTCACTCTGAAATATGTCACAATACATAAATCAATTCAGCCATAACTTCTGTTACATGACTTTAAGTTTGCTAAGCAAAGCAGGACACTAATTATTAATCAAAAATCAAAATGGCAAGATGCAATAGAGGTTTACATTTGTTACATTTAAATGGATATTGCGTTTTTCTAGTTGTAAAGGTTAAAACAATGTTAAGATACTAATAAATAGAGTTTCGTTGGACTCTGACTCGACTTGGAATCGGCTGTTTGGGACTCTGCCCATTTTGGACTCGGACTCGATTGGTTAAAGACTCGGACTCAACTTGGACTCGACTTAGGTGGACTCAAACCCAACACTAATGAACCATTTCGAAGCTTCGAATCAATTGAACCAATTGCTTCGCAAAATTATTCACTGTTTCGAAGCACTCGAAACACTACACACTGGTGACGCCTGCTGGTCAAAACTCAGACCAAAACATGCATAAAAACAGCTTTTACAAACCCAATGAAAATGCTTTCTTAAAAGTATAATATATTAAATGCAATCAAAATAATAAAATACCATTAAAAATGAAGTGTCTGTATAATAGGCCTATGCGTCTTTAAAATAATTATTAATTTGCAACTTGTTTTGTTTGTTTTATGGAGAGCTTGTCTAAACAGGCCAGTAAGAGACTATTAACTACTACTCATCCTTTTAATTACACAAATGTCTCATTAAAAATGTCTACAAATTGATCAAACCGATCCAAGATCGTATAACCATAGACACTGATGGTTCGCCACTGTTCACAGAGATCGCCCCCCTAGGGCGAACTATTGAAATTTCGAAACGTTTCGAAACAGTTATGATGTAACGAAGCCTTGTTTACTGAAATCATGTGACTTTGGCATTTTGATACACGCTCCGAACCACTGTTTCTAAACAATTGATTCGCAAAGGTTTCGAAGCTTCTTGAAGCAGTGTTTCAAAAGCGGCCATCACTAATTAACACTACAGTGGACTTTGGTATATTCACCGGTGGACACTTCTGGGACACTTTCACATTGGGACTTACAGCACGCTAGGATTCTTAAGGACTGTTTTATGGTATGGAACTGAAAGACTCTGTGCTTTTAACAGCCTAGGTTTTCTAGTTTGATTGTGTTGTTTTAAGTTCCATGTGGAAATTATAAATACCAGTTTATTTATTCATTTCATAACTGTTGTACGTCTCATCTTTTTAAATACTCCAAGCACTCACACAGTATAATCTGACCCCATTTTATTAATTGTAACATCTCCCAGTAAGAAGACACCAAAAATAAATCAAATAGCTACATCATGATGTACTTGGAATGCGCGACAGTGCATCCGCTACCACATTTTCCGATCCTCTAACGTGCCGAATATCCAAGCAGAAAGACTGCAAAAACAGGGACCACCGGATCAACCTTTGATTCGGACACTGTAGAGAATTCAAGAAGGTCAGAGGATTATGATCTGTATATGTCACAATTGGTGCACTGGAATTAAGATAAACAGCAAAGTACTGCAAAGCCCAAATAAGGGCTAATGCTCCTTTCTCAACTACAGAGTAGTGTCGCTGATAATGAAACTTTCTCTAAAAGAAACTGACTGGATGATCGACTCCTTCCGCATCGGACTGCTGAAGAACAGCCCCAGCTCCCACATTACTGGCATCAACATGCAACGTGAACGTTTTATCGAAACACGGTGCCAGAAGCACAGGTGCTGAACACAGCAAGGACTTAACATTTTCAAAAGCCAGTTGGCAACTAAAGGACCAGACGAACTTTGTCTTACTCTTTAATGAATCCGTAAGAGGTGCCACTACTGTGAAGAAATTACAACAAAAAGATCGGTAGTATCCTACCAATCCTAAAAACCGCATGAGCTCCTTTTTTGTCCTGGATGGCCTGTGCCTTAGCCTGCACCGGACACGCTTTACCATTCCCCACCACCTTACCGAGGTACGTCACGGTTGCTTTAGCGAACTCACATTTTGCAAAGTTCACTGTAAGCAAGCTTTAAATGAGATTCCCAGCTGTCACTAAAAACGACCAAATCGTCCAAGTAGACTCAGTTCATGAGGCGTTGAAAAGTAGCCGGAGCGTTTCGAAGACCGAAACTCATAACCTGAGAAGAGAATAGCCCGGACGAGAATAGCCCGGACGGTGTGACAAAAGACGATATTTCTTGCGCTCTCTTTGTTAAAGGCACATGCCAATAGCCCTTCAGCAAGTCAAACTTGCTGATGAACTTGGCTGACCCAACCTGATCAACGCAATCATCAATGTGAGGCAGAGGGAAACAGTTTGGTTTAGTTAAGCTGTTGACTTTGCGAAAAATCTGTACAGAATCTAACTGTACCATCTGACTTTCCCACTGATAAACACGGGAAAGCCCAATCAGAGGATGAAAGTATCGCAATATTGTGATCCTGCATATACTTGATTTCTTTCTCCATTAATTCCCGTTTTTCAGGTGCAACACGGTAAAAACGCAGTTTGATAGGCTTTGCGTCCCCCACATCAATATGATGCTGCACCCTGTCAGTACGCGAAGGCGCATCTCCAAACAATTCAGTAAATCTACGTAACAACTGACATAACTCCTGACATCTTTCATGAGACAAATAACGGAAAATAAATTCTAAGTTCTGCAAGGATTCAGAATTTAAGCGACCGCGGAACACACAATCATCAGGTGAAATGGTCTCCTCTTCCTCCCCCACTAAACTCACCTTACCCCCACCAACAGATACGGAAGAAAGTACTGAATGCACAGATGTCCGATTCGTTACAGATTTAGTCTAATTTTCATAGTATGGTTTTAATAAGTTTACATGGTACCGTTTAACTGACTTTTTCTGTGATGAAGTTATAACTTCATAATTTTCATCACTCAACTTGCATTGCACAACAAACGGGCCATCAAATTTGGCTTCGAAAGGAGAAGATACTATTGGCCGGAGTACCAGAACTTGATCTCCTGGTTCAAACACTCGATGTTCGACTATACGGTCATACAATCGCTTCATATTTTGTTGGTGTTTTTCAAGGTTTACTTTTGCGAGTTCTCTTGCCTGAATGAGTTGGTTCTTGCACCCCAAAACATATGATGCCAAATTTTTCGGAGGCTCCACAGCTTTACCAGCCTCTTGAAAAACAGACAGTAGACCACGAACTTTAATGCCAAAGACTAAATCATTAGGACTAAAACCCGTACTTTCCTGTACTACTTCGTGAGCGGCTAACATCATCCAGGGTAAACCCTCTTCCCAATCTCTATCTAACTGCACACAATATGCTCGAAGCAGCGATTTTAAGGACTGATGAAATCTCTCCAACGCACCCTGACTTTGTGCGTGGTATGCAGTAGATTGATTATGCTTAATGTGCAGCGGTTTCAGAACCTGCTGAAAAAGATAAGTCAGGTTTGAAGCTTGGTCACTTTGGATGGTTTTTGGAATTCCAAAGACAGATATAAATGGAGTTAACACTCTCACAATAGAACGCGATGTAATACTACGTAATGGATATGCTGCCGGAAAACGCATGTTCAAACACATCACGGTAAACAAACAATTGCTTAACCTTTGGGTTACGAGTCCGACTCTCTAACCATTAGGCCACGACATTAATTAATCAGCGATATTTAAAACAAAGAAAAGGAGAATGGTTAGTATGCGAACACAGCAGGAAATTCAGTATATTTGTGCAGTGTGCGAATTTAAAAGAATTAAATCCGATTTGAAGCTTGTGTATGGAAGAAAAATAATGACCAATGTCTTTGAAATAAAAAAGCATGTGGAATTGCACTACCTGAAAAAATAATGCAAAATAATGAAAAAATTATTTTAATGCCTTGTATTTTCAGGGTTTGCATTTTTAGGGGCTGAAATTTAACTTAGTTGTTTATTTAAGCTGTAAATATTTCAATTCAAAACACACAATTTCACACTCATTTTCATAATTAAAAATTCTATATTTCATATTAAATTTCCAGAGTTCACTTCCGAAATATTCAATCTGTTTAAAAATACGATGTATAATATTCGACAGGCAATTTTCAGTCCATTTTATTTCACTTTACACATTTGCTTCCACAAATTCAGTGGTTCAAATTCGGCAGAAAATTCAGCATTGCACATCCGGGAACTGCAGGAATAGCAGTAGTACCGATGCATGATCTGCATCTGCTGTTAGTCACTCACCAGCAGTTGGTGCAAGCGACTGTTGATGAAGACCAAAGCAACAGGTAGAGCAAGTCATTCCCTGCGTCCCAATGTTCATACTATCCATCCTAAATAGTATGTGAGATTAAAATAAGTGTGTCCCAAAGCATAGTATGTTGAAAGGTGTATGCCAGAAGTCCCCGGATGGTCTACTATTTCAGGTCAATTTTTGAAGTGTGGATCCGTGCACACTCTGATGGCTAATATTACCCACAATCCATTGCGATTTGACGAATGATTCTGTTCAGAATTACAAACACGAATAAAAAAAACGTTAAAAAACAACAAACATGGCGGATGTGCAAGAGAGTAGAGTGGTTTAGATAAAGGGGTTTGAGTTACTAATAATCAACATTTAACCTGGTAATTTTTTTTATTTAATGTTACCTGTGTTAGGATATCTCATCTACAACAACAATGTGAACTTTTATAAACATCCGATTGGCCATTCATTTTTTAATGCATCATTATGCAATAAATATGAGCAGAGTTCTCTGCATAAAGACCTACGGCTGGCAGATCAACGTGCTACTTCATTTCTCTCCAATATGGTAGGAAGGAAGTTAAATGAAATGAAATGTGGAGGACGTTAACTGTGACAAGATGATTGACAGGCCAGTTTACAGTGACAGGATGCGTGTAATTATGTGACAGAGCGGACCGTTAATACTTTTTCTTCACCAAGAGTACTTTAAGGGCGTAGTATAAGTAGGCACATTGGGACGCAGCAATCCTTTCACCAAAACTGATTTGCAGAAATGGAGCAAGTGGTAGGTAGAGCTAGGTAGTGGTAGGTAGAGCTTATGATTATGATTTTACGTTTAATTCAGCATCTTCACTGTTACTCGTTTCCCCGTGTAGCCACATGTAAGCAGCTTTCTCTACCAAAGGAGATTATAATGCTATTTTACCCAACGCAGAACTAACATCTAATACAGTAAATCTAATACACATTGTTTTCGGTTGCTTAGTTTCCTTAACTTTATATCATGGCTTGTGTGACGCTGAGTTGTAATACTGGGATTTCCCTCATATGTCACACTCCAGGATTCCCCGACGACGCTTGACGTGCCTCAATGAACTAATAGAGTGATATAAAAATACCTCAGATCTCAGTATATACACCTTATTGATGATGCAAACTATACAGGCAAGCAGATGAGGTCAGAAGAACGCAATGCTCTGCATTTTCTTTATAATTGCATGTTACTAAAAATACATTTATTTTTAGTTATTTTAACTACGAATTTAAATGAAACTGAAAAAAAATAATAAAAAGGAAATTATACATTTACACACCTAAGGATTATATCAACCAAAAAAGTAAATGAGTATGTAACGAACACCACAGCAACCATTTGTGTGTCAGCGCTTAATGTGCATCTCATATATGAAAAGCATTTTAGGGGGCCCTTTGCTTTTGGAGGCCCAAGGTGGTCGCTTACCTTTGCATAATGGGTAAGTCCGCCTCTGATCAGAAGCCAAAAGCTGAGAGGTTCACAATTACCCAACTGTCACCAACAGCTTAGATAGCCAAACACTAATTCTGTTGCTAAGTCTGGTGAAAGTTCTAGTAAGGCTAACATCGCTTACAGTACCTTTAATGTTCTGCAACTTAAAGGGGTCATATGATGCTATTTTAAAGATCATTATTTTGTGTTTATTTGTTTGGCGTAACAGAATATGTTGACATGCTTTAATGTTCAAAAAACACATTATTTTTCAAATACTGTACATTATTGTAGGTTCTCTATTCCCCACCTCTCTCAAACACGTCGTTTTCAACAAAGCCCCCTCCTTTGACAAGCGCAGTCTGCTCTGATTGACCAGCTGACCCAGTGCATTGTGATTGGCCGAACACCACAAGCATGCGTCGGAAATGTAACGCCCCTTACCATAATCGCGAGCTTCAGCTTTCAAAGTAAATATCAAGACAGTTAATAATGTCGTTAGTTTTACCATCAGTTCAAGCCCGAAAGGGCAACAGAGTCGCGTGACAGACACAGTGATGATGCAGTACACAAGCCGCGGTTAAGACAGCTGAC